GACTATCTATATAGCTAGAAGCCCATCCAAGTTTCCAGATATCCATGTTTATTTCGTGATAGTAGTCTCCTGCCCCTCTGTATCATTTGTTTGAGTCTCTACCCCTTTTGTTTATTTTTGAGTATCCCATTTATACGCCAATACTTGTATCTTTTGACAGGCATTCGATTGAGCTCTCTTCAAGATGCAAATGCGGTCAGAGAAACAGAGAAAAGAGAGAGAGAGAAAGAGAGAAGGCCTGGTGAGAAATTGAGAAACGAGCCCCGTGCCTGTCTCTCGGGCCATGCATCATTGTTAATGGCAACTTGTTTGTTGTCGTGTCGCTGTCGCTGTCGCTGCTGTTGCCGTTGCTGCCACCGAGCTGCTGCTGCCTGTGCCTCTGCCGCTGTTGTAGTAGTACCAGCATCAGCATTGATCAAACTTAATTCAAAGTTCCTGTTACGAGAGCTGGCGGTGCAAAAATTTCGACATAGGGAGGCAAGGAAGCAGCGCGATGTTGATGTTGCTGCTGCTGCTGCTGCTGGTGGGGCACTGATGTTGCTGCTTTCGTTGTTGCTGTTGCTGTTGTTGCTGCTGCTGCTGCAATGTGCGTGCGATTAAGACGTGAGTGTGGCTGCTGCCTCCACTAAGTTACATTGTATTATGTGCCATAATTTAATTGACATTGCTCGCGTAAATCAGGCAATCACTGATATACGATGTGCCTCTCCGCGTAGACCGCAGCAGCATAAACGAACGTGAGCAGCGACGCTTGGTGTAGGGGCAGGGGAGGAGACTGCGGCTCTGAGGCTCTGTGGCTGAGCATTTAAATGCGGTCAGCCAGTTTTTCATTTTTTCTCGCTTAGTCGTTGATACTAACTAGACACTTGTATTATTTAAATCAAGTTGTGCTAGTTTTTTTTCTCTCTCTATTTTATGCCGCCCTCTCTCCCGCTGACTTTGCGCTTTGTCGCTGTTGTTGATGTGGAAATAAATTTTAATTTCGTTACAAGTATTTTATTTGGCCTGAAATTCCAGCGAAATATCATTATTTTTTGTTGTTTTATTTTTAGTTCGGGTTTCTCTCTCTTATTTTGGAGTCCATGACCTTTGAGAGGTTCCAGAGCATGGGCCACAACGTTGCACGTTAGGGGTGGAGCAGACTTATCGCAGCAGCCGGGGCAAGCAACAAAGCGAAGGTGTGCACCGTGGGCGATGCGTCTGCGTCGTCATGGGGCGACAGACCAAATATTCGCAGGCAAAGCTGCGATCGCAACGGCAACGGCAGCCCCACACACAAAGACAGAACACAGACACAGAATCACACACACAAACTCACACACAGATGCAGACGAACACATAAAGCAGGCGTTGTTGATTTTTGAAGACAGGGCCACGGCAGAGGCTGCTGGCTCCCAATGCAAAATGTTGGTAGATGCAGAAAAATATCTAGGGGTCAAGCGAGTTAGAGTTCACTGGAAGGAATCCTTAAGCAGGTTATATCCGTGAGCAAAGTATTTACAATTTGGGTTTCCCATATCTTTTTTCCGCATCAAATTGTGTTGATTGGCAAATTGAATTAAACTACGACATTAATATCTGCAAGAATGGCCAGAACTCCATATTGTAACCATATTGTGGCTATATAATTTATTGAAGCAATTTCACTACCAACATTTTCTTGCAGGGCTTTTATGGTGTACCCTTTAGCTCCCACAAGCGCCGTTTTGGCAGTTCGTCTGCCAAATCCTTTGTTTTCAGCCAGCGTGGCCTCCTACAAATATTTCGTGGCTGTTTCTCTGGCTGTTGCGCCCTTCTCCTTCTCGAGAGGAGCTGCAGCCGGGGAACCAGATCAAAATGTGCCGATATGAGCTCATAAACACGCAGTTTAAAAGTATTTTTGTATTCTTTTTATTTCAGTTAACCTTCCTTATATTTTTTGGTTTTCTGTGTTTTTTTTTTTTGCTGTGCTTTTTTGGGGGAATAAAGATCTGAGAAGCGAAGCCTGTTGAAGGGGATCTATATTTGTATCTGTGCATACACTTTTGTCTCGCGCTGTCAGATTTGAGTTTGCAGTTTTTTCTTTGTGTTGTTGGTTTTTTTTTTTGGGGTATTGAAAACTTTTTGGCAATCATTTCTGAGCCGTTCTATGTAATTATTCAATTAGGCGAAGTGGCAACAAGCAGGGAGAGGGAGACAGGGAGAGTTAGAAGCAAACAGTAGCCAAGATTTCGCTCTAATTGAAACTTAATTATTTTTGCTGAATATGTTTTTATTTTTATAGTTAGGTACCCATGTATGTGTGTGTGTGTGTGTGTGTGTCTGTATAGGGGAGATACTCAGGGGTCTGGGGGTCTGTGGGTCTGGGGGTCCGCAGCTCATTAACAGTCACCGGATGCACTTTCAAATCAAACGAACAGCAAGTGGCCGAGTGAAAGATGCAACTGGAAACAAGTTTTTTGTGGCTGAAGATACAACAGCAGCAGCAGCAGCAGCACAGCAGAAATAGCTACACAAAAAAATCATAATAAAATTACCATAATTATAAAAAAAAGCTGTAAAACAGCAAGCAATGTGCCACAGTTTTTTTTAGCGGTAATATTAACATACTATAATTTTATATGCATATATTAAATATATACTATATACACTTTATATATGTATACATATATTTATATAGACCAGCTTTTGTAGCTGCTATTGCTATTGCTGTCGGGCAGGTGTTAGAACGTGTCTCTTGAGCCGGGGTCCGAGTCGGACAAGTTGCTGTCAGGCCAAACGTTCAGGCCACAAAAACCGAATTGTATAACACGCCCCACAAACAAAAAGCCCCCCTCCTGCACCGCTGCACCCCCCTCTCTGGCTGCGTAGCTGTGTGGCTGAAGGCCATTAAGCTAAGGCTGCAGTCCGCTAACTGTTTGCTGTTTGTGTAACGCATAAATCTTTTGGGCCAGGCCAAGCACAATGGTCTGTTTGCACGTCTCAAACATTGGCGTGGTGTGCCTGCGACTAGCCTCTGCCGGACTCCACGTGGCCAGGTCGGGCTTTGGCTACCGCTCCTGCTACTACACCAGGTCCTGGGACTCTTGGTGCTCCTGGTCTTGGTCTGGGTCTTTGTACCGGGCAAATCAATAAAAAACTTCCGCCACTTCAAATGGCGAGGGCGGTTTTAATTAACACGCGGCCCAAAAGTTGTGTTCCTTGCGGAAAGCGAAAGCAGCTAAACCATTGGGGTGAGGGTCCTGTAGCTCCAACACTGAGAGAAAACGGGATCCATTCCAAGTGGATACTGACAGGCAAATGCTAATAGCAAAGTTGTAATCCAATAACGGCAACCCTTTTCCTTTTGCGGTGTAGCTTAAGTTGGTAGCACCCCAAAGTGCAGTCATAAATTTATGCTTTTGGCCAACTGTTTAACCCCTTAAAGGCCAGGCCAAGATAGACCGAAATTGATTGTGTCGCTGCAGGCGCTAGGGGCGTGGCTATTTGTTTAGTTGTCTCGATTGACAGCTGCCACAGTCTCGGCTTTCGGGGAAATCAGCGTCTTTCCTCTCGCTATATATACATATATATGGATATTGTATCTATAGTATATGGAGAGCATTTCTGGGGTGACTCAGGCTGTGGAGGGGCAGCTCTGGAGCAGAATTTATTACACAGCCGCCGTGTGGCACGCCCGTTCTAGACTGACTGACTCTGCCCCTCTGCCTCTGCCTTTGCCTTTGCCTTTGCGCCTGCCTCTTGTCAGATATTCAAATATGTATCTTGATAAACAACTTGCGGCTGGAGCAACACCCACGCAACCAACACAGATACACACCAGCACACACACACACACACACAGCACACACACATAGATATAGCACAGGGTCTTCAACTTGTTTTACAAGTTTTTCTTTACAACATTATTCTGGCTCTCCCTCTGGTGCCACATCTCTCCCTCACTCTCTCGCTCTCGCTCTGGGGCACTGCCAGTGCCCCGGACTGTGGCTGGGCACATGAACTTTTGTGGCACACTAATTCAATTAGGAAGCCCACGCCCACTATCAATAAATTTCTCTAAAAACGAGACTCATTCACAGCTTTTTTTCCCCTTAGCTGCTTCTTTAGCATAGTTTTTATGTGCGAATTGTTTTTGTTCGAATGGGAAAAAACTATTAAACAAAAGCAATGAAAAGTGAGGCTCGGGGGAGTACAGTGGGCACTTGGGCTCTTGGACTTGGGTGGGTGTTGTCTGTGACAATGCTGTTCTACCCCTCTGACCCGCTGCAGAGCAAGGGGCAGCAGCAGAAACTTTTCATAGAATTGACATTGACACACGTGGAGGAAGAGCGAAAAAAAAGAGCATAATAGTATTACACATGCAGCCATATATTGCATGTTGGATGAGCGTATCCATGTATGTGAGACTGCAGCTGTATCTGTATCTGTGTGTGTGTGTGTGTCTGTCTGTCAGTCAAGTGGGAGGGTCACAGGCGTAGGAGGCAAGCGCTGTTGCTATTGTTGCAACGTTGTCTCTGCCTCTGTCTCTGTGGCTGTTGTCTTTTGCTCGTTTGTCAGTCAACATTAGAGGCACGTCAACAATTCAATTTGAAAAATGCTAACTAAATGCGAGCCCTGCGAAGATAAAGGCTAAAAGGATTGCTGCCACAGCCAGGGGAATTGTGCACATACATAGATCCCCTATCTAATGATTGTAATAGGATGGGCAAATACTTATAAGGTATCCTAGACTAAATGCTGAGCAAAGTGGATTAATGGAACTTAATGCACTTAATTAAAGTGCAACATTTTGCAGCCTTTGCATCCCTTTGCAATATCGATTGGGAGTAGCATTAAAAGTTTGTAGCCAATTTCTGCAAATTCTGTCAAAATCAACCAAAAGTGCACTTTAATAAGTTTGCAGAACAAAATGTTTGACCCACAAGTGACATATCCTTCAACCGAAGGACCCAACAAATAATTACGTACTAATTTGATTGATTATCTAAAACTTAATGTGATTATAAAGTTGGACTCACCTGCGTTTGCGTTAGGCCCAGACTCGCCGCCAGCTCTGCTCGCTCGGGCAGGGCCAGGTATTGGGTGCGCTGGAACCGTCGGTTGAGCTGCTGGAGCTGCAGCGAGCTGTAGATGGTGCGGGGCTTGCGCATCTTCTTTCCCTTGCCGTTGACCCGCAGGCCGGACTCCTCGCACTTGTCCGAGATGGAAAAGTCTGCAAAAAGCGAACAAAGGAATGGAAACCGTCAGTCGGCTCTGGCTCTGGCTCTTGCTCTGTAAATGGCAGGCAACTTTGCAATGATGAATTTATAATTAGGCTATGAAATTATGGCCAGAATGGAGCGGAGCAGAGCGGAGCGGGAGAATGCTGCAGAATGCTGCTGGGGGGAGTCGAACACTTAACCCTTTTTTGTGTACATTGTGTGCGCCATATGCATATTTATGAGGAAATTCCCCCAACGAATGGAATGCATGAAACTGTTACATTTATGGACCTGAATTAATTGCCGCTGCAGTCCCGCCCATAGACATCACACAAAAGAGACTCCAGACTTCAGCTCTGACTCCAATATCCAATATCGATTTGTTAAGTAACTTGTAAATGTCAACGAATTATAGTTAATTGCAGAAATGAAAGTTCAAAGCACTCCGCACTGCCGCTGTACGAATGTATGTATCATCAGCATCATCATCATCATCATCATCAGCACTATGATGATACGATGATTATGATACGTAGTGCTCAAGTTCAATGAGCGGCGGCTGCAGCGCCTGTTGACGTTGCTAATTGCTCAAAAATAACACACGATGCCGCCAAACTATTATTAAATGCCAAATATGGTTACAGGTGTGTGCCATGAATCTGTCCGTGTATCTGTGTATATGGTGTAGCTGGTGTGCTGGTGTAGGCCGAATTTATTTGGCGCCCGAGCAGCCAGCACGTGCTGCACACTCTTAATGACAAAATGGCCAGAGCTAGAGACTGAGCGCGACTGAACAACAGTGCAACAGTGCAACAGAGATGGCAGCAATCATTGTCATTGTCGACCACCCAATGGCCCATTAGTCAGCCCCGGCACTAGCACTGGCACTGGCACTGGCACTGGCTCCCTAGTGTGCGTGAAGTGTTTGTTGTGGATGTGTGAGTGGCGGGCTGCGGCTGCGGCTGCAGCTCCTGGCCAACGGTTCTCTGCCACACATTCATCCATCAGGCAACTACGCCAAAGAATGGTGTAATTAATTACGCCAAACGAAAGCCTAATTACTGCAATTATAATTACAAACAACTGTTCGGCAAGACAGAGACAGAGAGAGAGAGAGAGAGTGGTAGGACTTTCTTGAATCATCAGAGGGAACAATTGGGAGAATATAGCTGTAGCTGTAGCTGTAGCTATAACGATCAGCTGCTTTCCCTGATCTATTGGCAGACCAGGCTGAACTAACTTCAAGTGCAAGCAGGGAAGCCTCAAGGTTAATTGGGCCCACGTTGCGTATGAGCGACAATGGCTGGGGCCTGAGACTGGAACTGGGACTGTGGCGTTGGCGTTGCTGTTTGTCTCCAGCCACAATGGCCAGCCAGCAGCCACAAAAACGAATTGCTTTTCACTCACAAAATAGAAACTGCTCAACCAAAACGCATCGAAATAGTAGCAAAAAAATACAAAGTTGTTCAACAAAATGCGAGAGGCACCAACGACAATGAAAACAGCAACAAATTGTCACAGTCAAGCGCGCAATTATGCCAGTGACTGAGACTGGGAACAACATTTGCCAAAAACACATTGTACACAAAAAAGTCTAAAAATAAAGCAAAGAAAATCTCAAATATAGTAAAATAAAAGAGGGAATCGTACTTAAAAACCAAGACAAATTGAATGAAAAATTAAATGATATATGTACGATAGGAAACTCCTCACTGGATTGCCAAAACTATCTTTAGATTATTTTTCAGCAAGCCAGCAAGCAATTGAAACTGGATAAAGGTAAAACACTGAAATCTCAAAAGAGTTTTGTGAGTTTGGGAGACAAGTCAATCTTGAGATCAACAGGCAAACAAAAACCTCGCTAAAGAAGACAACAATGGCACTCGAGAAGCGTCGCGCTCTCAAGCTGAAGTGTCGCCAAAAAATAGAAGGGAAGAGGAAGCTGCTGCCAAGAGATCTCTCAAAGATCTCAGCAGAAGAGCCCCAGCAGGCGGCCTCGAATTATAGATCTGAGTGAGCTACAAGGGAGAGATGGGCGAAGAAGGTCACTTACCATCCTTGGGCGGACTGGAGCAGGGCGGGGCATAGCTGCCCAGGTGATAGCCGGAGTAGGAGTTCTGATGCATGGGCGGGAACGGGTAGCCGAGGGCGCTTCGCGGACTGGGGAAGCCCGAGTCCTGGCCACCCTGTGGACCGAAATGTTGGTAGGTGCTCCGTATGCCGCCGTACCTAAAAGAGAAGCAAAATGTCAAAAAATAAAATCAATAAATGGTATAGTTAAAATGGAGAACACAGGGGCCACAGAGGATATCCTCTGTGAATGAATTGTCGTGTATGGGGGGGCACAGCAACATTTCCTTTCCTTTCCCAATTTTTCCCCCATATACATATGTACATATGTATGTATGTATGTAGTTTGCGTGTTTTGTCTACACTTTTCACTATTAAATTCAAACGTCGCCGACAACGAACCACACAAAAAATAAAACAGAAAAAAAAAAAATAGTAGCCTAAAATGTTGTTTCATGTTTAATGCAAAAAGCGTCGAAACGAAAACTTTTTCTTTCACAACAAAATATTGGGCTCGTAGAGTGCCCAGAGGGAGCCCCCAGAAACTTTTGCCATGACTTCATTTAAACAGAAACAAAACTAAAGCATGAACTTGATGCGGTTAAATATATCAAAGGAAAATCAATACAAATGTCAGAGCTTTGGTTTTTGGTTGTAGTTCTGGTTGGAGTTTTCCCCTTCAGTGGTAAATATTTTGTTAACACTCTGCGTGGTCGGTTGGAACAGTTGAGCGAGTTCCCATGCATTATGCTCGGATCCTAACGAATTGCATCAAATATTCAATGCTCTCTAGGCCCTGGAACACGGACGACGGAACACGGAACACGGAAGCGGAAGCCGGTCAAAGAGCCAAACGAAACGCAACAGAAACCGCAACGCACAACGGACAACATGGCAGCCCAGCCACTGCCACTGCCACTGCCACTTGGAAGATAGAACTGCTGGGGACTTCGACCAAGACCGAGACCGGGACCAAGCCCAGCGAAGCATTCCAAAAGCCAGCAGTCAAGCACGCACAGAGCCCGAGAAAGAGAAATGACAGAAGAACATGGAGGGAGGGAAAAAACCGCAAAAACCGGGGAATGCAATGAAATATGTATAATGAAAAATCGAATCGTGCGTTCGAAAAACAATTGGCGGCAGTCAGCAGCAGTACTCAAAGCAGTAAAACTGAACTTGGATATATGTATATTGTACATACATAACATACTCGTACGTATCTACCCTCCTCGATTATGATGATGATGATGATGAGAATGGCGTTGGGAACCCTACGGAACATACGCTTTATTTAGCACACGGACTGCCAGCGCCTGGAGTAGATTCAACTAAACTTAATTGAATTTATTTTTGGCTTCCGTTCGAATCGAGAGGCACCAGCATGAACTGCACGCCGGCAAGTGCAACCGAAGTGATTTTCTTAATCAAAACTAATAAAGCCGAGACCTCAACAAGGGATCGATCCCCCCAACTTCCTATTCATTAAACTGCAAAGCTTTCATAAACTGCACAACAAAAATATTAAAGGCGGGAATACATTTTTAAAGAGAGAATATTTATAAATTATGGAATGTACGGATCATTTAGCTTTTTAATGATTCTCTTCAAATGTTAAGAATGCTTGTGAGCCAGCTTTAAAGGAATTTAAAGACGGATTTTCAAAAGATAAATACCCATGAAGAATCTGAAGAGTTCTTTTTTTAAATGTTCTTGTTCACCCAATAATTTATCTGTATCTGTTGGCTATGAAAGCTCCAGTAAGTGTCTAAACATTTCCAGTAAATCTGATTGATTTATTCCTATAAAAACTGTTATTTTATTTAAGATATCTTTATTCACATCTCCACTTTTAGCAATTACAATTTGAGTTTTATCTCAACTGAATTTGCCTAACCAGGGAACGCCCCAACTCCCAACTTTTGTTGTTTCCTTTCAGGGAGTGGTTGATTCGTACTGCACAAATTTGATCGAATTCGGATAGCTAAAGTGTGGCAAGAGTCTAGCCTTTGAGTGGCAGTCAGCCAAAGACTCTATTCTGCATGGAGTTTGACATTTCCCTAAGAGATCTTTCAGCTTCCGATAAGCTCCCCTCCCTGACGATGGAGTACACTCAATCGAGTCCAATCCTGAGACACTCACCCGGCGGCGGCATGTTGCTGGAGCTCGACAAAGGCTGACTTGCCGGGTATATTGACGCCGGGCGTGACGCTGGCCGCGGTATTGCCACCGTCCATGTATTTGGGCGTGTGGGGTGCATCGGGAGCGTCCATGCCCGACTGGGGGGTGCTGGGAGGCCCCTCGTAGGGGCTCCCTAGGTCCGTAAAATTGAGCGTGTTGGCGCCTATTGAGGCCACTTTATCAAGAATTTTGAAGGCTTTTCTGGTGGCTGGATCCGCGGCAAGGAAATCCGATACAATCTGATGGCGATCAAGGCTTCAGTCGATATATTTGAGACTCCGATAATGGCTGTTGGTGTGTGGGTTGACGTGTGTGTTTATGGTGTGTGTGTGTGTGTTTGTGTGCGATTGATTTAATTACACGTAAACAAAGTTTTAATTGCTGTTCAGTTCGGTGTTGTTTCTCTTTGGGTGTATCTATAACTTTTGAGCGCGTAAATCCTTTTCCAGCTGCGAGGTAGCAATCCGCTTTTCTTTAGCACTTTAACTCTATTTTGCACTCTCTTTTTATCTTTATCTTTATCTTGATCTCTCTCTCTCTAAGCATATATTTATTTATCTTTGATTACTTTTCACACTGGTCATGAACGGGGGGAGGAAGCTTGTATCATTTCTGGCTGTGCATTCATTCATTCAGCACTGGCTTTTGATTTAGCACTCAGTATTAGTATTCCCGATTACAGCGACGGCCACATTTCGAATTCAAACTCAAACTCAAATTCAAATCCAAATCCAAAGCAAATCAACAACTCAAATCAAATCACAATCGACGGGGAACGAACGCGACGAATCGGATCGGAACACTTCTCAGATCGGCTCGGTGCAGATGGGTTTGATTTTAGATTTTAGATCCGACGCAAAAGACTACGACGACGGCAGCAGGTAGCAGCAACGGACGACGACCGACGACGAACTGCCCTCGAACAAAGTGCCGAACAAAGTAAGGCCTCCGCGTCGCGATTGCGCGCTGCCTGCCCGGTCTGTGCCCGAGCCGAGTCCGACTTGTTTCGCTGTCGCTTTGTCGCTCTGTGGCTGTAGTGTGCGAGCTGCACAACAACAGCGAGCTGCTCGCGGCTAGTCGTGGGTCGGAGCGGGACGGCTGCTGCTCCGAGGCTCGGGCCCGCCAATCGTTTGTAGCGCTACCGGTTCCGTGTGTCGGTGTGCATTTGGTGGTGTTGAAGCCAAACCAATACCATCAATTTTCCCACTGAGGCCAGTTGCTGCGGGGGTTGGTGCGGCGCGGGTTAGTTACTCTCCGTTTTACTGTCTGTCATTTCTGCCTATTGTCTAGGTCTAGGGCCCCGTATTGAGGCGTGGCCTGTCGCCCCCCCATATTCGGATTTTCGGCATTTCGGTGCGGGGGCTTGCTTCTCTCTGCCACATTTGCATGCAAATATGCTCGGCAGAGGTGGCAGAGGGGCAGGGCCTGGCTACCCATGGAAAGTGCAAATATTTTGACGTTTTAAATAATGTTGATTAAATGCAAAGGTCTCAATTATTAAATTGATTGTTGAACCTGTAATTTTGTCTGTTTCTTCTGCTGTGGCCGGTTTTTCGGCTCAAATCGAAACTGTGGCACATGCAACGGCCACGGATTGTGGGCCACACAACCATTAACAAGTGTGTGAAAAAACGAATTTAATTGAACGATTTAGTTAGATATTGGGAATATTTTCGTTATGGGCTGATATGAAAGGGAATCAAAAATATATTTATGTACTGTGCAATTTTCATGTTTGAAACTTTCTGCGACAACTTGAAATTTTCTTTGAAACATCAAAAATTTGTTATTTTTTTCTTCAATTTTGGCTTGCGTGGCGCCATCCGGTGGCCGCACTTGGCGGCTGTAAACCTGTCTAACAGGCCGACAATCTGCTCACCTGCTCCAACACACACACACACACACACACCTAAGAGCCACTTGCCACGCCTTCCACTGCGACTGCTACTCCAGAGAGCGAACGAGAGAGAGAGGGAGTAGCAAGAGAGAGAGTGAGAGCGCACGCGTAGGTCCAATTCAAAATGGCGTCCTCACCAAAAAGTTGTTGTTGGACTTTGTGTCGCTTTGTAGCCAGGTCCGGCGACAGCAGGCCGCATTTCGAGCGGCATTTTTCATTCACAAAGTCGGTCGCCCGGAGACGGAACCAAACCAGAGACAAAGACGCAGAGAGCCCAAAAGCCAGAGAACAGTCCAAAACGTTTTTCCTTGGTTTTCTTTCACAAAAAAAAAAGCGACGGCAGAGCAGGCTTCCCTCTCCCGACCACCTCTCTCGGACCCATGAGACAGACAGTTGTCACCTGAGAAGGATTTCCGCTAAAAGTTGAAAATGCATATTCATAAGCCAGCCGACAGAGACAGAGACAGACACAGCCCAGCGTCAGCATCAGCGTCAGCGCCACAGCAATTAAGCAGCTTCAGGGAGGGATAAAAACCGACTAAAAGTTCATTTATATAAAGTAAATAGATCCAGATCGAACAGCGAGATAATGGACCACAGAGCAATACAAATTGTGTGCTGAGCAGACAAGCTAGATCCGATTGAAATGTTAATCCCCGTATGGTCCGGTTCGGTTCGGTGCGGTACGATTCTGTTCAGTTCTGTTGCCCATGGAGTCCATAACTCTTACACCAATATTATTTGTAGATTTGTTTACAATACAGTTCTGTTCTTTATAGGGTTTGTGTGCAATGAGAAGATATTATTGGATAATCAGCAAAACTCAAAATCATTATAATTTCCACAGCTCATGTCGTGTTGGTTCTGTTATATTCTAGACTCCAAATCAAAGTATATATGAGTACCATTCTGTTATGGGCTCTGCTCTATTCTGTAGGGCATACAGCCCTGTTATGGGTAACTGTTCGCTTCTGGGCCCAGCTTTTGAGGTCGGCTACGCTGCACTAATTTGAGGGGAACACTTCAAATGCACGTAATTGTTGCAATTACTCAATGAAATATTTATTAAATGCAAATTATTATTAGCCCAAGTCTGCTTTTGCTTTTGCTACTGCTACTGCTACTGTTCCTTTTCCCACCCAGTGTCCGTGTGTGTGTGCGTTCGAGTATCTTACAGTGTGTGAGTGCTTCTATTGGGGAACGATTAATTGCCCATAAATCAAAATCAAATTACCGCCACACGAGACACGTGCAAATATGTCAAACGAACACGTTTGCAAGTCAATCAGACCGGCGAATAAATTTATCACATTGTCACAGATACGAGTATTGTATCTAAAAAAGTCATAGATCAATTCAACGGCTTCATATAGATATGCACACATACACATACATACTGTAGGGAGCAATCGATATCTAAGTAGAAACAGATTGAGTAATTCGAGTCTATTAATCTTAATTTATGAGGAGAGAACTTCGATGCCAAATCGTACTCACTCTTTTTGTACTTGTAGGCACATCTCTCGTAATATTGCCTAATTTTTCCTCCGATTCCTTCTAGTCCAGCCGCTAACCATTGACCCTGTTCCTTGCAACACTTCTGTCCCGGTTCGTCCATTAGCCTCTCCGATTATGTATTGCGGAGGTTGCCATAATTTCACTTGATTATATTGAAAGTACCACCAAAGCTTTACTTTGATATCTCACTTGGCAGGGAAATCACTTCAACGGAGAACGAATGAGAACGGAGAACGAGAGAGTGAGAGGGAGAGAGCGAGTGAGCAAATACGGAAGCCAAATCGATTTTGTTACCAAATAACATTAATTCCCGAATTAAAGCCAAGAGCCAGGCATTTGAACAAATGAGACGATTAATTTTGGGTCAAGAGAAACCGAAGGAGAAACCCAGTGAAGGAAAATCAAACGGAAAATTCGAAATGAACAGCACAAACGCCCACCAAAGGAGGATGGCATTGAAGGGACTGGGAAAGACGAGGGGAAAGCGCCATACGGAAACACCCACGAAACCAAAGGCGGAGAGGGTCTGGGGCAGGGACGTAGGTCCCCGGCTACAGAGGAAAATGCAAAGCAATGAACAAAGTTCCCGACCAAATACAATTTATCATTCAAATAATAATGTGCCACAAATGACTGAACCCTCGCGAGAAAGAGAAGCCAACAGACGGGACATAAATCAATCAAACTGCAGGCCAGAAAAGGACAGCGAGCGAGCCAGGAAGAGAGTTGGTCAGAAGTCTAGTTTCTGGGGGTTGTTTCGGGCTCAATGAAATGGAAACTGACTCCGAGTGGCAGCATTTGCTCACTTGACCGTCTCTTACTTACTCCGACTCCGACTCCAGGCCAGGCCAGGCCAGGCCCGTCTCCGACTCCGCGTCCGTCACCGACTCTCCACTCAAATGAAATGCGAAGCAACGCGTTCAAATTACATTTTAATGAGTCCAAGTCCAGGGGTTGGGTTGGCCAGCGGTCAGTGGTTAGCGGGGTGCGGGGTTCTGTTCTACTAGCGAAAATCAAACTGCAGACTTACCTCACCTTTGGAGCAGAACGAGGTAGAGGAAGGTAGAGAGAGAGAGAGAGAGAGGACCCATTCGATGCGCCTTTCAACGCCATAAACTGTGGAGTTTGAAGTGCAACGCGAATGGGGCAGCCACAGCCACAGCCTCAGAGGAAGAGGAAGAGACGGCAGACTTTTATGAATTTGTTTATGATGTACGAGGAGGCTAATGAAAGCGCCACAGCAGGCGCCAAATTGGGTCAGGACCGCCTGTGGCGGAGCTCCGCTTTTTCGGGCATTTCGCCGATGGGTCCACATGGACCCACATGGAGCCGCATGGAGACGGCGCACAGCTGCCGTGTGTGCGTGTATTGACATTCAATTCGAAATAAATCAGGGTTTACGACTCCAGAAGAGCCAACCAACGACTTCATTGCAGCCACCCGCCCGGTATCCCGCCCAAGCCAGTCGAGTGCTAGTCGCAGTGCCAGTCGCAGCGCCCAGGCGGCTTCCTTCAAAGATCAACGCTGGTGGCTATAACTCGACGGTTGGCTGTTAGCCGCTGGCCCGTTGGCTTTCATCCTGGCGTTAATTGGCAGCCCCGACACTGCCCGAGCCAATAAATTTCCAGCCGAACGGCCCCGACTCCCTGACTACTCACTGTTGATGTATTCATTGAGTCCTGGGATCTGTGGATCTCCGCATTGAACGAGGTGAGGACAACGCGTGATCTGGTCTGCTCTGAACCTACTATACGAGTATGTGGTGGGGAAATTCCAACTGGGCCAATTAGCCACCGAAACACACCATGGAAATGGAACTGAAACTGGCCAGGAATTTCAATTGAGTTTTCAGCCACGGAATGCTGTTTTGGCTTCATTGCGCTGGGAAAAGGGGAAGAAATTTATAAATTTAATAATGAAAATGAAGAAATGTGCAAGTGCAAATAAAAAAATTAATTGATTTGATGCAAACATACACGAATATGAATGAATCTTTACGAGGTTGAGCTTTTATCAACTGAATCCAACTGAGGGGAAATATAGCAGATCTAATGGTTGCTCCCCCTCTTCTCACCCATCCCCCCAGCATTCTCGCCGAGGGTCTCAATAATTTCACACTTTGGGAAACATTTTAAGCAGCGTCACTCAAAAGGAACAAAAATAAAAAAGCCACACAAAAAACCATCAACAAAAATTGTACACTACACCCAAAAAGACACAGAAACAAAAAACAAAAAACAAAAAAAAAAAAAACCAAATGAAATGTTTTGGAAATTTGAAAATAATTGTTGACACTTTATTATTGTTGTTGTAGCTGCCACGTAACAAGTGTGTGTGCCCCTTCCTCCCCCTTCCCCTTCGCCTGACACTCTTTGTGCACCTCTTGGCTGCACATGCGCAGGCCCAAAAAACTTCCGGCACCGCAGCCACAACAATATTTGAATAGGAAAAAATTTAGTTGTGTCACATTAAAAAGCAATTATCACCTTAAATTAACCAGCGGATCCGAAGCCCCCCTCCCACCACCCGTCCGTAGCCCGCACTCAGAGTTGCGTACATTGCCATCGAAATATTCAAATTGCTCGACTCGAAATTTTATCTAATGACTTTTCAAAAGGAGCCACAAAAACAGGTGACAGCAGAGGGGATGGCCCCGAGCTGGGAGTGGGGGGAGGTTGCCTCTCAGTGGGAGGGACAGGAACCTTTTAAGTGGGGAGGTGGGGGCACGTGGGTCTTGGCTCAAATTAACTTGTTGCTATTCTCAATTGGATGCGTTCGGCTCGGCTCGGTTCGGTTCGGTTGGGTTCGTCTGGCTACGATTTTGTTTGGGCTTTGGGAGGTTTCGAACGGCTGCGCTTTTAATTCGTTTTAAATTATTTTGTTACTGGAATTTATAAGCTTTTTTCCAAGGGGTAACACTCTTGGGTTAAAGTTTAATTTAGCAGAGAATCGTATTTTGGGCAGAGCTGCGGCACAGTGGGGCCGAAACGAAGAGAAAAGGAAAGGAGAATTTGGATAGGAACTCTATTAGGAAATCTACAGGGTACTTAGAGATCTACCCACTGCATACTGAGAGAAGTCCCATCCACAAAGTAAAGCGGTAACTCCAAGCAAAATTACTATTCTAGGGGATAATTCTGGTATTCAAATCCTGAGTTTTTCTGCAATATTAGCTCAGAAGGTGGAACCACCCCAAAGCTACGCTTCTCATTATATTTTTCATACTTTTCCCCTCGTACTTTATACTTCGCTCCACTGTACTTGTGTTTGTGTGGGTGCTCTATGGGCGCGCTGCACTGCATCAACAACAAAATGTTTTGCCTTTTTGTGTGTGTTTTGACGGAAACATTTGTCAGCGATTTTCCAGCACCAGACCCGAAAGCTAAAAACGCGCTGGAAAACATTTGAGCAATTTAATTAGAATCGTCTCCGCCCGACCACCATCCACCCCACCCCCTTGACAAATTATCGTGTGTGGCAAGAAAAACAGTTTCCAGTGTGATTTACGTGCAGCATGTGTGACATTTGTCGCCCCGTCCGGGCCGGCTCCATTGTTGGCTTACATCACCGGCAATTACCCAAATACGTATGCATATACACGGGGCAACAGTTATTGGCGGGTCATCCTACAGCTGGAGCAGCTTCACCAGCAGCAGCAGGAAGAGGCTCTCCAGGAGCGGAAACCACCAAGGCATCTGCAGACGATCGGCGGTGACACTCACCAAGGGATGCTGCCGCTGTTGCTGGCACGCACATGACCGCGAGGAGAGGAGCTCCAGCTCCTCCATTCCTTTTGAACCTTCAACCAGAGCAGATAGAATACCCAATTTCGATCAGTTTACGACCATCCACAAGACACATGCACCACTCTTCAAAAACTTGGATTTATTTCGTGTGAATAATATTGACTAGTTTTTCCCTTGAGTTCCATATAAATATTGAGAATTTCGTATGATCTCCCACAAATTTGAAGGTTTACTTTGAGCGATACATCAAACAAGGAAAGTGTCTCAGGGAAAAGGAAAGGTGGGGTCAGCAATTATGTCCACATCGGAGATGTTTCTTTGCCTTTAAGAACCTCACAGAACTACGACTGAAAATAGGTCTTCTGAAGGCGTCAAACTGAAGACTCTGCAGCTTTGTGATCTATTCCCAAGAAGTTCTTTTCCACAGATATAGAGCAATGCAAACATATGTAGCTTTGAGGGATACACTCCCAATGGAAAGGTAAGGCAAGGGCAACGAAAAGGTGTCCATATCGGAGATGCACAATTAATTAACAAAGGATGCCACAGAGGGGATATGGCACTCCACTCCCCCTCTCTCTCTCACTCTCTCTCTCTCTCTCTGAGGCCACTCGCTTTGTGTCTGTGTGAGTGATATGATTTATATTGTCTCCCTGGCCGGCGCCACAGACCAAATCCTCTGCGGGTCGGCATCTTTAATGTCTCAGAACCCCGGTTCGATGTGTGTGCGTGAGTGCCAGTGGATGTGGATGTGGCTGTGGCTGTGGATGCCCCTTTAGATGTGGAAGAGGATGAGGCTCGGCTCTGGAGGATGATGCTGATGATGATGAGAGGCGGCTGCGCTTTTAATTCTTTTCTGGTTCTGCTACCCCCTTCTCCCATGCTCAACTCCGAGTTCCTTCTCAGTTTTCAAGAATTTCTGCAACGAATTCAGCTGACTTTTCACACCTCTCCCGCTGTTGCTGCCGCTACGCTCCAATTTCAATCGGAGTTCGACTCTTCCCCCGCTGGTCTGCTCTGCACTGCTCTGCTCTGCATTAAAAAGAGATTTGCCAAGAGAGTTTGCTAATTATAATTGGTACTGGTACTCTTTTCCGTTTCCCTTTCCCAATGCATTTGCATTTGCCCTAACCCTTACCTGAGTGGGTGGTGGAAGGGCTAATGAGCGGACCTGCCCGTGTTGCTGCGGCACTGCAGGAAGGAAGGATTAATCCCGAGACGGAGACGGACACGGAACTGAACGGATTTAACGGATTTAGCTAATCCAAGGCCGTTGCCTAGCGCCGGCCAAAAGTTCGCCTTCAATTGGACTCGGATGCGTCGAGTCTTCGCTGTGCCGTGGCCCAGTTTATGGCCCAATTTCGAGTGCAAATGCAAATGAGGCCTAAGCTCACAAGTCAGCTAACGGTGCCAGTCGCTTCATCTACTGCTGATGTTGCGCCTACTGATGCTGCTCTGGTTGCTGCAACACAGCAGCAACGCCCCCTGGTAGATCGCTCCGGGTAGTCCAAGTCAGCATCTATCAAACAGCGACTGCAAGACAGACAGACAGACAGAGAGACAGAGATACTGAGATACTGAGAGAGAGAGAGAGAAAAAGAGTGAGAGCGAGAGCCATGTTCTTGAGGTATTATAAAGTGCATTGTGGCTACCAGTTAAGTGCATGTTGCTGGCCAGAGGGTACCAGAGACGGAGCACGGTCCCGGCCCGGCCCAGCCCAGCCCAGCCCCAACCTCGGTAGGTGTGTAAACTATGTTGCTGCTGCCTGCTGCTGCCTGCTGCTACTCCATCTCTGGCTGAGCAGTCGGCAGAGAGCCAACCCATCAACAGCCAAAACGCCACGGGGTAGGACCTTTTTCTTAGCTTTTTTCTTCGCATACTTTTCTGATACCCTAGCAGTGGGTGTTCTGATTTTGTTGGTTAGCTTGCCTGCCTAAGAAACTGATGCATAGCTAAAGAAGCATCTCTCATCTGATCATACGAAGGGGATAGTTTCTCAGTTTCGTTAATTAAGTAATAAGTCTTCAAAACGTAGTTTTACCTACATATGGGTCCATAATTGTATTAGTCTAAGCTCACATCAGACAATCTATAGGTATTCCGTGCTTCGTTTCATCAGGATGCTCTCCTTTCATGTTCATATCTTTCCTGTGTCTCCCTGCAGTTTGGCGGCCTAACAGAGTGGGCGCGTTCCCGTCCACATCCACGTCCGCGTCCAACGTTCACCTGATGCCACGCTGCAGTAGAACAGCTTCTGTTTAGCATGGCGGGCAGGAGGTGCAGCAGCAGCAGGAGGAGGCAGCCGCAACAGCAGCAACAGCAGCAAGACAAACTGGCTTTCTTTCCATTCATGCAAGTTGGGCCTGGCTGGCAACAAGTTGCCAAGCTATAATTACTGCATCCATGTCGCTGCAAGTTGCTACTTCATAAATTAGCATGCTGCTGCTGCTGCTGCTGCTGTGGCAGTTGTTGCTGTTGCTGTTTTGATGTTCCCTCCGACTCCCCTGTTTTGTGGCTGCCTCTGCTTCAATGTTGCTGCTCCCTCCGCCATTCAGCGCTCCGGCGGTTTGTCATTGCCATAGCTTAGGCCTAGAATGCCGCAGCGTTTTCCAGGGAAACCAAAACGAACACAACGGAGCCGAGCCAAAACCCAAAAGCACAAATCACAAATCATATTGCAAGCATTAGGCTTCCGTGTGCTGGGTTCGAGTCGGAGATACATGTTCGTAGAGCCAGAGACAGAGACAAAGACAGAGACAGAGACTGGGGCCCGCAGACGAGGTCGTTCCCCGCCTACGGGCAGGCTTCTCATCCCCATTCTGCTGCTCCTTTTTCTGTTTCTGTTTCCCTTGAATTCCTTGAAACAACGAAACGCCCTCCTGGCCACAGCCACAGCCACAGCTACAGCTACAGCTCCAGCTCGATCCTCATCATCATCCTTGGCCGCATCCTCGACCGTTGTCCTCGTCCTGCCCTTGTTAGGGTCTCCCGGCTCGGCCGCGCCCTCGCCCTATCTCCAGCTCTGACCCACAAACAATTTGTTTTTGCATTTCGCTGGCGGGTACCATGGATAGCCACCACCCCACGAAAAAAACGGGACGGGACGAGACGAAAACTTGCTCTCAACATCATTATCACATGGGCGATCTGGGCAAAGCAACGCAGCGGACAGCGGCGGACAGACACCCCTTGCGTGTCTCAAGGTTTCGATTTCAGGAAATCAATCTTGTGTTGGCATTTCGTGTTCTCCACTTCCACTCTACAAAAAATACCAACTCGGTATATTGGCAAGCCTGCCAAAATACCAAACAAAAAAGAGGCTACTCTGGGGATCATCATTAGCTGGGGCTCTTGGCTCGGGACAGGACAGACCAGGCCAGACAGGAGCGCTGGCACATGACCCCAGGCAAGGCTTCAGCTCTGCAGTTGGACCTGCAGTTGGACTTCTTGGACTTCGTGGTTGGTTAACACCCAACCAAAATGAATGAGAGGCCCAAGCAGAGACAGAAACAGAAACAGAGTCCAAGTCCAACTCGGAGAAGGAGAAGGAGGCTGATGATGTGGCTCTGCCTGTTGTGGCGGCGGCCTGTGCCTTGGGGGCATCAACTCGTAAGCGTTTTTGAAGACCTCCAGAGCAGCACGCGATTTATATACGACACCCAGATAGGGACCCAAGAGGAAATGGCACAGGCGCAGTGTGAGCAGAGTGAGCAGAGTGAGCAGAGTGGTGGAGGGGACAAGCCACTCTCTATAAATCTCTGAAAACTTTTATTATTATTATTCCCTTATTAATGATTTCACTTGAATTTGTGTGCGCATCTACAAGCCCGAAACCAGATCGATGAAAAATGTTGTTTTAATTGGGATTAGGCCAAGCTAACAGGGCTAACAGCTGTAAACAAGACCCAAAACAACTCACTCAACTCACGTGCAACGCAACTCACTGGAGTGTGTTTGAAATGCTAATAAAAGATAGATTTATCATCCGATGGATGCAAGCCAGAAGGCGCTACCATAATCATTACAGCAAATACTCGTAGTCAACATAGTCAACATCTTCAACATAAGCCCGGGCGAGGAGCGGAGCCCAAACAGAGGAACAGAACCGAACAGAAACCGCTGCATCATGGCCAGAGTGATGAGGGTTCCTGCCTGCCGGAGTAGACCGCGACTTCAGACCAGAGACAGGCCAAACACTTGCGTGTGTCACTGTGGTGACGCTCAAGTAGTCGGCTGGCTCCAGCAACAGCCTCAATCCCCAAGAAGAGGCACCTGATCATGCTGGGTTAGAGGTGCCCTCTGCTGCACTGCGAGAATTAGAAGTAGCAGCCTAGAAGTAGCAGCCTCAACCATGTCTAACATTTCTGACAGTGCAGACTAAAGTGAAAATTAAGTCATCAAGAGCCCCACAGTCAGAGGCAGTGTCCCAGAGTCCCAGAGTCTTGGCTAGGTGAAGTAGGTGCTGTGTGCTGTGCTGTTGGTTCCCCAAAAATACGGCCCAGACAGAGATATATGTATATGAACCCCGAGCCAGACACTTCTTGATGAGATTTGAGCTCATCAGGCAGAGTGTCTGGCGACTGTTTTGCTACCTCTGTCTCAGAGTTCGTACCGGAGCTCCATACCTCTGTCTCTGTCTCTGGCAGATGATGATGAATGGGCCCAGTTGACATATGAGGGTTTTAATCGTCATAGAAAACCTACGCATGCGATTCGAGCATTAAAAGTTTGAGAAACCAGAAACCAGAAATCAGAAATCAAAAAAATGCACAACAGATTCTTGCCTCATTTGGATGATAGGAATGGGGTGGGGGGAGTTTCGGTATTTCGGGATCTTAAGGCTAACTGCCACTCCCACGCTCCTTTTTAGCTGTGGCCTTGTTATCCTGATCGCTTTGTTCAGGACAAATTGGCGGCATCCTTTTTAGAATGTAACAAAAACACTTGACTTTCAACCAAAAATGATCAGCGTCATCATCCTCATCGATCGGTGGATCGTTCGAGCGCCTCATCAAAAGGATAAATCGGCTTTCAACAACTTTTTTTCGCCTTTTGTTATCTTTTTTGAGGGAAATGCCGAAAAGAAACCAAAGCCAAAGTCAGAGTCAGAGCCAGAACCTGAGATGGAGATGGAGACTTGGCAACAGCAGCAAATGTCAGTCAAGGGGCATTGATTATGATCATCAAATTATTGAGCGCCTATGAGCAGAGACTCGGAGTCCGGTT